ACTACTACTACTACTACGACTACTACGACTACTACGACTACTACGACTACTACAACTACTACTACTACTACTACTACTACTACTACTACTACTAGCTCCTACTGCTACTACTACTACTACTACTACTGCTGCTACTTCCCGTCCTCCTCATCCTCTTCGCTTCCCCCCCACCCCCCCACGCGGGCCCGGAGATGGCCCCAACACGCCGTCCAGGCTGGCCTCCCTCGCTGTTTGACTCTGCGTGGACTCCCACCCCGTCAGCTCTACTACTACTGCTGCTACTACTACTACTACTACCTACCTACCTACCTACCTACCTACCTACCTACCTACCTACCTACCTAGATTACTACTACGACTGCTACTACCACTATCACTACTACTATTATTACTACTACTACTACTACTGCTGCTACTACTACTACTACTACTCCTTCTACTACTTCTGCTACTTCTAGTTCTACTACTACTACTACTACTACTACTACTACTACTACTACTACTACTACTACTACTACTACTACTACTACTGCTATTACTGCTACGACTACTACTAAGACTACTACGACTACTACGACTACTACGACTACTACTACTACTTCTACTTCTACTACTACTACTTCTACTACCACCACCACCACCACCACCACCACCACCACCACCACCACCACCACTACCTACTACTACTACTACTACTGCTGCTGCTGCTGCTGCTGCTGCTGCTGCTACTACTTCTCGTCCTCCTCCTCCTCCTCTTCGCCCCCCCCACGCGGGCTCGGAGATGGCCCCAACACGCCGTCCAGGCTGGCCTCCCTCGCTGTTTGACTCTGCGTGGACTCCCACCCCGTCAGCTCTCACCCCGGCAGCTCTCACCCCGTCAACTCTAACGGACATCTTTTCTGGATGGGCTGGTGGAAATACGCGAAACGTCCAGAATCTCTGCCCTCGGGGGTCCTCTGCGGGCCCCCAGGACCATCAACGAGGGGCCCGGAAAAGGAAACCGCCCCTGGGGAAACGGCGGAGCCCTCTGGGGAAGTGGCGGGGAGAGAGAGAGAGGAGGAGGAGGAGGAGGAGGAGGAGGAGGAGGAGGAGGAGGAGGAGGAGGAGGAGGAGGAGGAGAAGTGGCGGGGAGAGAGAGAGAGAGAGAGAGAGAGATCTGCTGGGCCTCTCAAACGAGGGCGTGGCTCCAGACAGGGCCCAGAAGGCTTCTCGGACGGCCGGAGGCCCCCCGTGCCTTCCGACCAGGCCAGCCCCCTCGAGATCCGCCTCCTCCTCGGGGCGCACCGCCGATCCCCACTTGGGAGCGGCCAAGAGGGGGGTGTCCAAGAGGGGGGGGTGCAAATCATGACCAGCGGCATGTGCGCGGCCCAGCGGGGGGGCCAGGGACGTAATGAAATAAGAAGAGGCGCCATGAGATCTGTGGAAAAATCATGGCCCGCGCCATGAAATCCACCCCCCCCTAGTCATCACCCCCCTCTTTTCCGCCCGACCCACCTCCCCCCACCCCTACAGAGAGGTCTGGTCGGAGTGCTGAAGGGGGGGGGGGGTCGCGAGGTGTCGCAGGGTCCGTTTTGACCCGGGATGGCTCCACGATGGCCCGGGAGAGGGAGCCCTGAGCAGCACAACGCACTCCCCCGATGGCTCCTTGCCAAAGTGCCGCTTCCGCTGCTGCCAGCCCTTGTGGCTGCTCGAAGAGTCGAAGAGGCATCGACCCCAACGGCGCACATGGGACCGCCAGATCATCAAAAAGCGCAGGGGTCCAGGCCCACCCATGCCACGACCATGGTGTGACACAACCTTCCGCTCCAGCAACACGGATGCGTCTGCCAGGAAATCCATACGTACGGCCCGCTGGCTCGAGCGAGAACAACTGTGGGGAGAGGGGGACGGGGGCCTCCGGGGACAGGAGGGGGGGAGACACTGATGCTCGCTCTGGGGACCTTCCTGGAGCCACTCGCTCGCTCCGCTCATATGTTGGTGGTGCTTCGAACGTTCGCCGACTTGAGCCGAACTCGAGTCGAGCCAGAGCCGACTTAGAGTCGAGCTAGGGTAGAACTAGAACTATTCGAACTAAGGAGTCGAACAGATCCGCTGGGTGGCCTCCAGGAAGTCCCCCAAAAGAAACATTGAAAGAAGAAGGAGGGAGGCAACGTGTGTAGGTGTGCTTGTCAACCGAAGACCTTCAGTACGATGCAGAAGGCGTTGTGAGGGCCGACACAGCTGCTCAGGCTCGCACAATCGGCGGAACTGAACGGGGAACACACACACACACACGCACACACACACACACACACACGCGCGCACGCGCACGCGCACGCGCACGCGCACGCGCACGCGCACGCGCACGCGCA